ATACACAATGACATTCTTCTAATACCTAATTACAATAGGCACGTGCCGCCAAGCCCCCCCGCCCGGTAGCGTCGGAACCGCTATGTCCCTTCATTTTAAATCTGTAATATCTTCGAAAATATTCACTTAAATCATACGGTGTAAAGGGCCATATAGATCTATATTAAATGAACAATGTATTCAAGGTATTTAATTGGTTAAGGATTAATGCTGTATTGGTTAAAATCGCTTCGAAAATTAGCCATTATTTGTCGTAAAAAGTAAATGACAAAAAAGTTATTGTGGGTTATCCATAAGAGATAGACATATACCATCACGGACTTTTCTGTAGACCTTTTCAATGTGTACAATACTTAGTACATTATTTTGATAAAACTCGTAGGGTTCAGCCTGCGTTTGCAATGTAAGCGGAAAAAATGTAATTATTTACGACATCACATTAGAAACCTCAAAAATAACAGTACTTCTCCACTATTTAATGGATGTTATTATACATATAAACCTTCCTCTTGAATCACTCTATCTATTAAAAAAAACCGCATCAAAATACGTTGCGTAGTTTCAAAGATTTAAGCATACTAAGGGACATAGGGACAGAGAAAGCGACCTTGTTTTATACTATGTAGTGAAGTAAGTATCCCATAACCTTTTTAGTTATAAAGTGGGTAGAAAGTAGGCAGCTTATTAATTAAAAAGATTATTTCATTTCGTCGTTAATTAAATAAAAAAAAGGCGGTGCAACCGACAGCCATCTTGTACAGTCGTAAAATTAAAAACAAAAAGTTTTGACTTTATTGATTGTACATGAAGACCATAATACGAATAAATACAATTTAATCTAAACGAACTACTAACTACAGTGCAACATACAGCATATTTATATAAGTGGATGAAACAGAAAAATTGTGATAAAATATATGTAGCTATGAAATATACACTGAAGAACGTACAGGACAGTTTCAGTTTTGAACATTCCATGGTTGGCGTGTGATAAACGTTTAGTCGAGATAATACACCGCGGCGCACACAGATTAAACAATCACACACTGATACAGTGCCTATAGTAACATAAGTTAAATGCTTGCGTGTTGCAATTTATTCGCCAAAATTGTTGTCCTTTGAATATATTATATAAGGGTATTAAGTAGTTACTCCTATCAATTTATGGATGTTTCCTTATTTTTTTTTTCTTTTAGTCTACGAACATATCGAGGGTTATTTAGTGATCATTTTTAACTTCTTTTCTTTGTGATTGCATGCATGTGTTTTTTCCTTGATACCCTTTTTAAAAATACAAGCATATCCATCGGTCCCGTTACGCAGTGGCGGCGCTAGACCACATGGGGACGTCGGCGACATCAAGTTCGCGAAGCTTTATTATTAAAAAAAAAACGTAAAAAACCGTTAAATCAAGTGAGCCAAATTATAAAATAACGTATGAGTAAACGAGTTTGATTGTTGATAATCAAATGATGACACAAAATAATTACAAACATAAAAATTTAATTACAAAAATAGTGTTGCCAGACAGACGATTCTGAATACCCGTAAAGTACTACTCGCTTCCATCATTCACGAGTTAGAAAATAATAAAAGTCATTATCATCTGCTTAGCTTTTTCACCGAATTGTTCGGGGTCGGCTACCTAAGCTAGGCCAGGAGAAACGAAAATAAATAGGTAACTTGTAAAAATTTTTTGCGAGGCCCCCTCAGGCGCGAGGCCGTCGGCGGTGGCCGACGTCGCCGACGCCTAGCGCCGCCACTGCCGTTACGAATGTTTTACTATCCATATACGAAAACACTTTACCAAAATCAATTTTGTAACGTCTTAAGTCCTATATACCCATGAAGAAGAATGGTCAGTGGGTCATATTGATAGTACGAGTACTCATCATACTTTACGTTCGACGATCATACACTGCATTAAGTAAATTATGCTATCGATCGTTCACCAACATTAATTTCTAATGTCGCACGTGCGCTTCATATCAGAAGCTTCGTTTCATAAGCAAACAGTTATTCGAAGTGTACTGCATGTGTTCATTATATCGTCGTGTGACAAAGTCGAAGTAGCAACTTGAAAACGTAAATAAGTGCACATTTCTTGGAATGTATGTAATAATGTTACATTCCCACCAAACGCCTTATAATGTAATGATACCTGTACTATGACGAACGTCTAGAGCAACACACAATCTACGATTGATAATTTAGTAGTTTATTTTGTTGGGCACTTTTATTCGAGCTTAAAATCTTCTTTATATGAACCTTTTATTGGATTGATCTTAGTTTATTATAATGAGATTGTAATATAGGATTCATTACCAGTTAATTAAGAGTAAGTCATTCTTTTTTTTATAATGAGGTAGGCTCCTCCACCTGATGTTATGTGGTGATAAATTCCGAAGCGAAGATACTATAATTAATATATTTATTATTATATAATTCTTATGTTAATTTGTATTTTATTGTAATTGGTAAATGAGTAAATAAAAGTAATTAAGTATATTTTGAAATATAGTTTCCTAATAGTGAATATGGTATACATCATTTGTTAACTATTTTATTGAACGCAATTATTTATAAGTATTTTTTTAAATTAAATTGACTTTATTATTGTATTATAAGAGTAGGTAAGGCTTGGTCATCTTTATATTAATAAGGCGACCCCGTCTTCTTTTCTGTAGGTTAAAACTTTAAGGTAAGCATAAACTTTCACAAACTGGCTTCTTGAAAAAGTTTTAAGTTACGTTATTGAGCTTCGTTCGAATATGGAACGATACAATACTGTTGGTAAGAACCAAGCGTAAAAATACTGTTTATTTTAGTAAAATATATTATCGGAATGTTTTTATTCCTTTTTTAGAAGTTACGTTTTTAAGTAAAGTAGGTAATATCGATTTACAATTTTATGAATTTGGTATATTTTTTTTGTTGAGTTTCTAACTAATCCTTCCACGAAACGTGTTTTTTAAATAATCTAGCAACTTTGCTAATGTTTGTGTGCGTACAACCTTAAAAATTCAACGTTTTTAAACTCAATATTACGTTATCTTAATAAAACTAAAACTGTCCAGACGTTTTCGAGTATAGCGTAAAAAAAATATTTCATTTGAATTGGATTAAAGGTAATTCCCGCACGCAATTAACGCTTCTGGTATAGTTGTTTTGTGTTAGTAATAAGAAAATAGGTCAGCTACTCAAGTGCGAAAAATTGCACTAAAAGTGCTTGATGAAATTTATTAAATGGCATATACCTATTTATTTTCAAGGATTCCAGGACAAGGTGGTTGTTTAACTATTTTAGATTTTTTATTCTATTGTAATATATTTTTATTTATTGTTTTTGTTTGGGCTTTTTACTCTTGAGTTATACATACATCATTACGTATATCATCATCATATCGTACATACAGCATTTAATTAAATAACGCACATTCACTTACAGGTATCCGTTAACAAGATTACTATATGAAGGTGGACTATGTGGCAAGCTCATATTGCTACGGTTTCAAACACCACTTTAAAGATTAACAGTGAAATCTTCTGGGTTTTTTTTTCTATTTATTTTTTGATTACAGATGCCATGATCTAGAAAACACAATTTCTTATTCCATATAACCTATTAAGTATGTATTATATTTTATAGATTTTTATCTTTAATACTTGTGCGTTTGTTTTGTCTTTAAGTACCTATAGTCAATCATTGTAGTTTTAATATTTTTTTGAAAATATCTGACAGCATATTCATTTGCATTTTTTTTTAAAGATTATTGTAAAGAAATTTAGAAGAGCTTTACCGTTTCAACTTAATTGTATACGCCAGCGTCACAAAATTATTACGTTCAGCAAAGAAAATACTTATTTTATTTAAAACATGTATCTGATTATATGACAAGCATTATGATATGTTAACTTTACACCGACCGATGGCGACACCGTGGAAGCTGAAGTTATGAAATGATCTATTGTTATGTGGAATAGAATTGCCAGGACACAACTAATAACAGACATACACTGGATTCCGTTTCAAACAAACAATAAATCAAGTAATTAAATTTAAATATTGTACCTCTTTTTCTGCCTTTGCAACTGGATAGAATAAGGACAGCATTGTTTTTTTTTACAAAAAGTCAAATTATCGTCGTAATGCTTCTTTAAAATAAACTTTTAGGAGCATACAATAATATTCAAAATTGTAGTTTCCATAAAATTTCTCTGTTCCTTTCCTATCCAGTGAGTTAGAGAGACGTACAATACTTATGTTTCATATTAAAATTAGTCGAAGCAGCTTGCTTACAAAAGCGGGCGTATGAATTCAAGTATTTTGATGAAATACTTTAAACGTTTATCACATAATAACTATCTTAGTTGTGGAATTTTCAACAACATTTTCTCATCTGGCAATTCTACGGTACTTGGTGCATTATAAAAAAATATAATTCTAATGGTGCTTAATATGAATGGCCGGTTTAATATGAGATAACTTCATGTGATAACATACAATCTGTCAAGAGTCGACGTGTGCTCAGCACTCCGGTTTACCATATCGCCTCCATTCGGCCTAGAACGAGAGATACAACTGCATTTCTATGCTTTCCATTCTTTAGCCATTAGCATTAAAATGGAACAAGGGCATATTTCGATGCTTTTCTTGTTTGGAATTTTCACAGACCTAGATTAAAGTAGATGACGCATGTGATTCAACTTGTATAAAAACCGAGCGTGTTATATTTTGAGAACGCATTAGGAAGCGGAAAAGCATGGACTCCGGCCACCCGCTTCAATTCTATCGTTTTTATAGCTTATTACGACACAATTAAAATTTCGATTTACATCGAGAAAGGTATGAGATGTAAAGAAACCAAAATTAGCGTTAAAGGAGGACCGTTGGTCAATCTTTTCACATTGATTTGACACGCAAAGTACACACTTGCGGTATCTATTTCTATCTATGCCTGTGGGTATTTAAGTCAGGTAATTTGTTATAATTTACTCACTTGCGTTTAGCGTGTAGCATTTCCATTAGTAAAGTTTGCGTCGGTGCTTGCCCCGCGCAGTGCCGCTGGTAGAGGTGTTCTTCTCCCCGCGCAGCCAACGCGTGAATCTCTGGGACTACCATCACCAATTTGCCGAATTTATCCTGGAAACCCAGACAAGATATTGTTTTTATTCGTCACGTCAAATAAGCAACGAGTTATCTAGACAATGGGAAATGGGAGATGCTCTTTTCTTAAATGGATTTTTTATGGTCTCGTGTTACGTACTTACAAGTGAGATTCAGACTGTTCAATCCTAGTGTGTTAAATTTCGGAAAAATACATAGTTGGTAGAACCCTTGAGGTAACGTGTTCTTTTCATGCTCATATGTCTAAATGAGTTCAGCTCATTATAAGACCCTTGATAAATTCGTGTTTTGTAAATGGAAGGATTTGGTGATCTGCTAATCTTTGATCATGAGCTTGATGTAGAAGATTTCTAATACGCAAATGAGCTCATGTTTTCACAATAATCATGTAAAAGCAGCAGTCCGCCAACTCCTTTTGAAAACTTACTTTCAAATCCTTCTGACTGTAATATTGAATCAAATATAATTACCTGTATCGTCGGGTAGCAGGTAAGTGTGTAATCGAGCAAAGCCGCTTGCACTGTCTGGTAGCCATCTCGGACGCATTTCACGTTTACTATGCCCCTCACCTCTGAAACCCCAAGAATAATCTTCAAAAATTAAAAAAAAAACATATTTTAATCCTGTTTAAAACATATAAAACAAACAGACAATAAATTTTTAAACAATGTTACTGTTAAGTAAACACATAATCATTCGCATGTGGGGCGTAACACTAAATAAAGTTGAAAATCCAAAGCATAAATAAAAATCGATGATTATACTGACCGGGATTTAGAAGAAGTAAGAATTTCACGCAGATGTAATCCGGGATGTCGAACTTTAGTTCGGAGAGTTTGTTCTGGAGCTCGTTGAAGTGGTCAGCTAGCGAGGGCACACCAAGGAGACCTAAGCAGAGCAGATCGAATTTCTGTCCGTTGTGAAGTGTGGTCTCATCAGGCAATCCGTTATGCATCCGTTGGTGTAGGTGATCTAAGACCAACATGTCGGACCATGAGTGCTGCAGTAGTTTCATTTGGTCATCGACCTGAAACAAACGATAACCGCATTGCAACACGTGCAGAGCAGATAACGTTGAAGTATTGAAGCGATTCGGTCGAGCTAATACTTCGTCATCTCCAGTGAGACAACCTAACGAAACCGTTGATTAAGTCTTACCACACTTAAATTACAAAACAATAAAAACAGTGATTAGCGGCTTGCAAAATTAAACAAAGTACCTAGATACCTAACTTAACTAATTATCTAAACAAAAACGGCCCCGTTAGGTGTCGGTGTTGCAGTTCGCACGTATTTACTCTTCAATGAAGATGACTTCTAGCGGAAGAGGGTGACGTTGCAGTGATCGGTTGTGTCAGCAGAGTTCCGTGTGACGCAGAATTATGTGGGTCAGGGACCAATGTGTTACTGTGCAGTGTAAAGTGTTCCACTTCTCATCTCATTTACCTTTCATTTTTATTGAAATTACTTTGACTTTTATGTTATCTCTGTTTCTAACTGAAACGCTATCGGAGAAGTCGCAACCGGCTTGCTGACTGGTACTGCAACTGCGACCCACATTTTATTGAGTTGCATTAGAAAATACTGGGCGGTGCGCGAATGCGTTAAATTTGCCGTTTACGAAATGTTACCACTGAATTTTAGAGCTGTAAGCGATTGCTTCAACTTGCTCAATGTGATTAATAGAGATTGATCGAACGAATAATACTTTACTATCCTATGAGTCAGTGAAGTAATAATGCGCGATTACATTTCGTAACATGGATTCATAAGTTGTAGGAAACATTAGTTGCAGATAACGCGTAATATTTATTTTTTCATCACACGTGTTAGTAACTCTTGGATTTCCCTCGAAGGAAGTTGCTTTTCATTGCAAGACGTCATGGTCGAGAATATTAATCCTAATAATACGATAGACGGTGCGGACCGCATCGTGTACGCAAGTGTTAGTTCCTCGAAAAGAGTTTCTATTTTCAGAACAATAATGCGGCGATGGAATGCATTGAGTGCGAGATATGCGACCTTTTGGGATGGAAACCGAAGCGGTGAGCATTCTCTTTGAGCGGCCATCTTGGGCCGAGTTGCCGGTACTAGGCGTACTAGGCAATACGAAGTAGGTCAGTCGCCTCGAATTGCCGCGTGCCTGTAAATTTGCTTACTACACAGGAAGTATAAGATAATTTTATCTTTTTCATGTTAGTGATCACATTTGTTATCGAAATTATTTATGTATCGATACTTGTATTCAATTCTAAAAACACACTATGACCTACTTAGATATCATCTACATAAAGATATGACACACGTGTGCAAATAAATATATTTTATATTAGGTATTATAATTTACTGTATTATTCAAGGAATTCGGACTATTTAAATTATTTTTCTTTTGTACCATTTACCATGCTTTTAGCTTAAAAATATACGAAAAAAGCAAAAGTATTCGTTATCAAAATCTTTTTAAATAAAGATACGTAACCAATATAGGTTTTGATATGTAGAGCGTTAAATTCTAATACCGTTGTCGTTACGGGATATGTCGCAACGAAGGTTTGAGTAATGTCTAGACCACAGAAGAATAAAATAATATGATAACGAAAGTGAAAGGCTTGAAATTACCAAAAACCTTAAATTGTGAGTTGTGACACAAAACACTGATAGATAAAATATTTAGGAAAAGTTCCCGTACAATGCAAATCATTTAAAGAAAAAAGGGTGTTCACTAAAATACAAACCCAATTAAAGTTCGTTTTTATTAGTAATACTTTTTATTACGGTTGCATATGTTACATCAATACAAAACATCTTCATCCGCTCAAGTTCAACCGCGCCGTTTTGCTGTGTGACTAATCGTATCGTACCTGGTTAGATATTACGCAAGAGAAAGGCGAAGAAAGGCCGCGCAACTCGTTACGTCTCTGTTACCGGCTGTTACGCGCTTCGCCGCGGTAAAAAGTGCTTTCTCGTGGCAACTCGGCCACGGGCACAGTGTCAAGTGCGCCGATGAAAGTGCAGCGTTGCCGCTCCGCGCACCGAACCGTTACATCACATCCGTCTGGAGAAAGCGTAGGTCATCAACATACTAATTCAACTGGGAACGCCGAGCCTTTGGTTAACGAACTTTAACGAATTGAGGAAGAGAATAATTTTAATCATACTTCGATGGTATCATTGAAAGTAGACTCAAAATATAAATCAATAGTTTATTCATTAAAAGAAAACTTAATTTTGTTGTTGTGCCGAAAATGACAGGAAACGTTTTTCGTTAATGTATTCGAATAGTATCAGAGATAATGTCTATCTGCGTTCACCGCTGTCCTAATTCCGAGAATGAATTGTAAATAAGTCGCGTCATTTTAGTACAAACAAAAATTACTAGTTGCGGAATAGCGACTCGTGCGAGAGCGAGACATTTCGTAGCGTGCGAAGTGGCAACGTCGCGAGCCCACGTGACACGCCTGCGGATCTTGCGTAAGCGTGCTAGGACCACGGACCCACGGTGCGGCGGCCGGCGCTGCTCCCGCTCCTCGATGGAGCATCATCACTGATTGATTGAGCACCCCCGTGACACGCTTAATTAAGCCGGACAATCTCCTGTTGTTCCATCTAGTATCGTCTACTTTACTTTTCGATTCTGCTTTCTTTCGTAAGGATATTTTTGCCTATTCTTACACCCGTCAAACCCAAATATATACATGAGTCGGCTAATGAGTTATGATATCGTTTTAGAATGAGGCATGTGTGGAGTATATCTAGAGTGGAGTAGCAGTGCGGCAGCAGCGGGCAGCGTGTCGAGCCCGACGTGGGAACTTGACCCAGTTGGTGCGCCGCGACGCGGGCGGCGGCGACGGCGTGGCGTATCGATTGCGAGCGGCACCGCGTCGCCGTTGGCCGCTGCGTCACACGCGCCCCTACTCACACAACTATATCGGATCTACCGTCTGCACGCAACTAAACTATATAACGTTCGCTTGGCCCACTTCATATAACTTAGAAATAAAGTTTCGCAGCAGCGCAATGCGTCATATTCGCAAGCGGTTTTGGTGTACACCGGAGAGGGTTCGGGGATCAGGGTCGGGATGATCATACTTATCTGGAAATTCACCTTTAAATACTTAAAGAACACGGTGTTTCGCGCCCAGTCCACTTGAGAAAACAAGTTTTGGTCCAGAACTTTACACATTAACTCGAAGAGATCGACTTCACACTGGTTATAGGTTTGGCTCTGCAAGAGTCCGAAGAGCGAATTTTGCCACTCGCGGTCGTCTATGGTTTGGACGAATTCCCGAATCATGGGCGAGACGCGGAGCGCCTCGGTGCTGGTGGTTTCTGCGGTGCTGGAGGGTGTCGCTGCTGTGGTCGCGGACGCGTCGAACGCGAAGGCGTCCGGTGAGGCGGAGTGCGGTGAATGCGATTCCCATTTGTCGTGCGCGGGAGGCGGTGGCGGTTGGGGTTGCTGCGTCTGCGCCGCCAACAGGGCCGGCCCTGGAGACGACTCGGGGGATGAAGTCAGGGACGACACTTGCGGGATCTGTATTTCCTGTTTGACCGGAACTGAGGCGTAAGGCGAGTTGAATCCGAGCACTAATCCACCGTCACTAAGTGAGCCTCGTAGCGTCTGCACGGCCATTTGCCGTTGCCTCATCATCTGCAATTTACGGGCGCGATCACGTTTGTACATGGGACCGAACTTATTACGTCCACCTCTCATACGATCCGCTCGAACAGCTGGAACAAATGCGATATGGTTAGACACATAATCAAATTAAGTTACTTTAAATCAACAAAATAATTATTGTCTTGGTGTTTCGGTCTCTAAAATGTTAGCTAGTTACTTCCAAATGATGTTTGGTTGATATTGCCATTTCCATTGGTAGAGCATAACATATTTAAGCCTTTCATCTATATTCAAATAAATATAAACATTTTGTGTATTATGATTCAATACCAAAGCTGTACTGTAATCGATTTGCTCATATGGACATTGAGATTAAAGTTCTTCGCACATATTAAAATTATGTAGGTTACTTGTATATGCATTAAGTTTGTGTGCTACCAGATAAATGTTTTATAACTTAGGTTTAAAATTTAGGGCAGCGGCCTCGTAACGTAACCCAAAGCACTCGGGCATTCTTTATGGTTCTGGCTCAATTCCAAACTCTACCAAACGATTTTCAGTGCAGAAATGTTTACTTGGCTACGATAGGAAAATAAATTAAATGAATAATAAATTAAGTATTCGCAATGGCAGGTAGGTAGGTTAAGTTATTTAGGTTGAATAGGGATGATAACTAACTTTTTACCTTCGTTAATGAGGTGATTATCAAAAAGTATAGGACACGATTTTTTCTTTATTCACATGATCAAAACATTATAAAGATATATTGATTTGATATGTTGTATGACTCCACGTCCTACAAATTTAAATTAGAATTGACGTCACGAGTCCCCGTTCCCAAGCTTTGACGCGCTTTATTTTTGTATTTTTTTGGTTGATTGACAAAAGAAAATATAAGTGTTCATTTTCTTGATAATTGACGGACTTAATAGATTTTCGTTTGCTTTACCCCGAGATCATCCCTATTAATAATACTAAGCCATACTTTAACTTTAGCGTTTTTAACGATGACGTGGAATAAGTAAGTATAAATCAATATATAGGTACGTATTTTGATAGAGACTAATAAGATTCACTGAAACTTTTATTAAAAAATAAAAATCAAAGTCCATTAAAATTAATTGAATTCGTTACCTTGTGAATTTTAAAATACTAATGCCCAATATCTGTTGATAGTGTTTCAGTTGTTCTTATTTTAACAGTAAAACTGAAAATAGAATGACTCCCCAAACTCGCAATGAACAGAACAAGTATACGAGTAGGTAGTGTTATTTTATCATTTCTGGCAATTTTTTTAATTTGTTTAATTTCAAATATTTTTGGTCTACAGAAGTACCTATTCTATTACTTCTTTCTTATAAGATAATTGGATGGATATATGTATTATTTTGGATATTCATCAATTATTCTTGCTTGTCTCTCCCCTTACGTCGCCCTACGACGGATTTATACAAAATAATTTTTGTTTAAACAGTTCGCCAGCTCTTTATTCTACAGACAAAAACCTTATTAAAACAACATTCAGAACTGAATTATGATCCAGTCAGTGTTTATCAGAAATGGAGAAAAGACTTAGTCTGCAGGGCTACAAAAAGTGTTTTTGCTCATCGTTTCTTTGATTACCAAAGCTGTAACTTAGAGAGAATAGAGAACTTTCAATACACGATCTCCCAAAATACTCTGTTAAAGATCTAGTGAACGAGTGGTTGAAAAGATTAGACTACTCAAGTACCGAGTGTCATGTCCATTAATTGTACTAAATTTTGTTTTGAATTAAATACACGACAAGGCTTTATTTTTATTTTATTTTTTTTATTTTTAAAACATTCACACCAATTAGCCTAGCCCCAAAGTAAGCACTGTAAGGCTTGTGTTATGGGATACTAGGGTAACGGATAGAATACATAATATACAGTACACATATAAGTATATTTATATATAAATACATATTAAACATCCATGACTGGAGTACAAATGCTCGTATTTATCACACAAACATCTGCCCCCACCGGGATTCGAACCCGGGACCTCTCGAGTCGGTGACACCATGAAACCCGGCGTACAAACCACTAGACCACGGAGGTCGTCAATGAAATATATGAAACATACTTTATACCTCACATACATAATATACACACACACATATCAACCTATCCATTTTGAATTGTATTTGAGACAATATTTAATTTTTATTCAGTATCTTAAATAATTATGATCTCATATTAGTTAAGCTAGTGTGGGAACACTAAGTAATTACAATCCTGTGTAATTACCTGGTGATCTATAATGTTTCAGACACCAACTCCTTACATTACATAGGTTGTATTTGTCTGTTGTCTATGATGTGAGGAGAATTTTTTTTTAATTATTAATATTATTATGAGGCTTATACCTGCCTGCGCAGACGAGGGAGTTTTGTCCGCGGAGAACTTTTTTCCGCCGTCATAGATCGTTTACAACTGCTTCGATTAACGCACGATGCATAACACTACGGATTAATGATACCGCGGACATCGAGGGACTGGACAAGGCAAAGGTACGCGAGAGTCCGCGAAAAAAATAGAACAATATATGACAAGAGGCAGCAACGCGCGGTGCGCGCTTGATAGCGATGTACGTGCGTGGTAAAGATGTTCAAATAAGAACTCCTTTATACGATACATTAAATAAAAGAGTACCATGACACGACGACGAAAGGACAATGGGGAATTCTTTAGCATCTATAGATTTCATCAATAGAAATGCAAATAAATTAATCTTTACGGATTTATCAAATAATTGAGGAGGGTTGTCTAAGTTTGGAATTAAAAAACTAAAAACGTGGAAAGACAATTCAGTAATTATTAAGTAATCACATATTAGCGTTATGTCTTCTGAGCCTACTATTTTAAGTGATTTCAGTGATTATTTCATTCTCAACCTCAAATATGTTGTCCGTATGTTTTGCATCGCTTTACGCTTAAACTATAATTTAATTATACTTTCTTAGGACGTCCTCTTTTTTTTTTAACTTCATGTTTTACTATACTACGTTAACTCAGGATATAGCTTTCATAGAGTCTCTCTCTATGATAGAGTGCGCCTTATTAAATGTTCGGGGGACCAATGTCCGCACGCCGTGTGCATTGAGTCCGTGACAAGTCCCCGGCGGACAATTTTTTCATAATACGGGGTCAAAAGTCCGTCGTCTGCGCAGGCTATTGGTTAAGGCTTGATATGCTGTCGTCACGTAAATATATTTCTTTTCTCTTCTTTTAACCTTTGACTTCTTTCTGGTCTCTTATCTACTGTGTCCTCTATTTTTTTGGGTAAGACTTTTGTCCTTGCATCTAGCTGCATTAAAAACCAGCCTCAGGTAGGTACACAAAGAATCAAAATTAGTTTTTTAGGTTTCCTTAGTCCTGACAAGGAACCCTTAGTTTCGTCGTGTCCGTCTCCGGTTTTGCTTGGAGACTGTTAGCACTAGAGAGCTGTAATTTTGTGGAGATATGTATATCAACCATGCCGACAAAATGGTACAATAAAATTTTGAAAAGTATTTTTTATTTAGCGTAGCTCCCATACATGTAACCTTGGGTATACTTGGGTTGGTATTTAGATATCCGTTTGCGAAATATAGAATTTTAAAGTGCAAATTTTTGTTAGCGTAGGGCGTCCGCTCCCCCACTTAAAGCTAAAGTATCAGATTGAAACACCTGGAAAATTCAAGATAATATTTTCATGAACTTCAAAGAAAAAATATAACTGTTCAAATAAATTTGTTAGTTTAAGAGTATGAGTCGTTCAACTTATGTATTAGAAAATTACTGACCTAATAAGAAATCCTTAGAAGAAAAAATTAAAAGTGACTTAGACGAAGTAATTGCTTAAAATATAGTATATTATTTCCAAAATATATTGTGGTGACGATGAGCAACTAGGGCACGATCCGCACTTGGCCGGTTTTTTTTGTTAAATATAAAAACTTGATTTTTATGACAAAAAACCAAAGGAAATCGACCTATACAATAAAAATTAAAAATACAGTACTAGCTAAAATTCGTCTGTACGTAAATCTTATAAAAATTACTAATATTTAAGAAATTAAAATAATAATTAATATTTCCAACACTTACACCAATTAGCCTAGCCCCAAAGTAAGCACTATAAGGCTTGTTATTATAGGATACTAGGGTAAAGGATAGAATACATATACTCTACTTAAATAAAAAAATATTTATATAGAAATAAATATTAAACATCCATGACCGGAGTACAAATGCTCGTATTCATCACACAAACATCTACCCCCACCGGGATTGACAGATTTTGAATACCAAACTGCCAAGCTTTTAGCCTTGAACGAAAGAACTTTTCGGGTATCTTGTAAAGCGACTTGTAGTAATATATTAAATAGATATTTCGCATAATGTTTCTGTGATATTCATGAACTTATTTTATTTATTATTTTTTTAAAAAATAACTATTATTTTTTCTTGTAGTACATACTTACTTTTCAAAATTATGAGCTTTATTATAAGCATTAATTCAATATTTCGTATTGTATTGTGAAAAGATATCCAGGCAGGTCTATGTTTTTGAGTACGAAGCATTGATAAATTAAATTTACTTTGCTGAAAGTAAGTTACAGAGAACCAGGAGCGGAAGGGGCTTTCAGTGAGTCGCCGCCTCGCCAAGCCCGCGAGTTAAAAATAACAACCAGTTTTTATTGTGGCCAACGCGGCACGGAGCGATAAGGAACGAGTTACAGACCTTCCCTAAGGGTTCAAAAGAGATAGCAACTGTAACGGTGCTTGCTGCATGCAATTCCGTCGGTTTCATATGGCGAAATTACACCAGAGTTTATATTTAAGTACTTTAAAGGCTAGTTTTTTCTTTATTTTACTTTTAACCACTCTTTTGCTGACGCGTCTTTCTTGGCGAAACGATAATCGGAATCTGCTAAGATTCCTATAAGACTGAAGAATCATTTTAGTATACGCCGAAAAAAGTTTTAGCGTGTTGTTTTTAGAAGGATATTGTTATACAGATACAGTTATGTGGTTTAAACAATTTGACTTTACTAACACAATGTCAAATGTATTGAGTCGTATGCACAAACTCTACATAA